GCAACAGGTAAAGACATTCACAAACTGATATAACAATGGGAGGCATAGATGCTGGCTTTAAAAGAAATACTGCCATCATCAATCAACTTACAGACCAACAACAGGCATAGCATTTGCTCTCCAGATCACAGTTTCCAGCCAAAAGAATAAGGAATGAAACCCTTGAACTATGCCTACCCATACATCTGAGCACGCCTTATGATTTCCCAAAGATAAAAAACTGAATGACTGTGAACACACGTGCGCATCACATTTAGCAGAAGCAGTACTGAAAACCAATATGCCATATGGATGCTTGTAGGCAATGCTGCACAGTGCAGAGAGGAGAGACATCATCTCTGTGTGCTTCAGCTTGATCAGGATTTCTCTCACACACTTCCCTTCTTTTCAGCATAGAGATGACTTTATACAATTCTCTTCCCAAGGAAATGCAGTGCTGCACAAATTCTCCTGCAGGGTACTTCTGAATCTCAGCACAAGGTAAAATCACATGGCAGGCATACCCTACAGCCACATTCTGACCTGGAAAACCTCATTTCCACAGAAATTGTCTCCCTTCTGAGTGTACACATTCATCTTTCAGTGGCGACCACCATTCTGTTTGAGTAGATACCAGGAATTCAACAGACCATCAAAGTATGGCCCCTTCTTCTGTGGTCTAAGACAGATAGACAAGATTAATGACCAAGAAAGATTTTCATACAGCCATCCACTAATTCAATCCCTAGTTTGGAAAATATCTGATAATTACGATTAAATACAGTAGAGTGCAATACACTGGGCTTTCACTCTAAAATGCCACCTTAAACCAACACTTCTGCAGCTTAAAGTTCCTAATTCAGTAACTGTCATATTTATATGAAAAATTCACAAATTCACATTTTCATTTGGTAAATTTTGGGGTTTAACTTTAGTTTCAGCAATGGATTATGTAAAATTTCAACACAGCCATCTGAAAACAAGGTTATGCTTTATGCTGAGGGAAATAATTCTAACATTTGTCAAAATACTAGAAACACCCATTCTGCAATAGTTGAAGTTTCACAGAAACCAAAAGCCTTTAAAAATAATTTTCATCCAATCCACTCCTTATGCTTGTCCAAGGGCAAATGAAATTTTCATTTTCAGCCTCTTTCCTTTTATATTAGTTCCACTCTATGCACCTTCCCTTTGATTTCACATAATGAGCCAAGTTTAGATTAGAATCACCGTAACACATTTAAAAATTCCTCCAGAATAAGGAATGTAATTAACAGAGGATCCCCCCTGCAAAGGAAAGTAGAATGTCTTTACATTAAAAGCCATTAACAGACATCAAAATCCCTAAGACCTACAGGTATTTGGAGTCACATAGTACTAAATGAGCAACAACAGAACATAAAGAACTGCTGCACATATAGAACAGAGTCCCTGATATTCGTAAGGCCTCTCCCCCTGTGAACAAGCACAGATCTCTACAGTCTATAGGCTGACAGAATTCACAAAGCACTGCTAAGGGTTTCGCCAGCAACACCACCTCAGGACAGCTTGAGTTTCAGCCAAGATTGCCTCACAGCATCTTACGTAGGATTTAGTGATAAGCTATTGTATAATGTAATTACCCATTCTGCTTTACTGTAAGTACTTGTAACATTTGAAATACACCTACTGTCATTGCAAAAATACTGTGAAGAAAAAGCTTGACTTTAATGACACTTCAGAAATTGAATCAGGGCTTGAATCTCTCAGGGAGTGTGGATGGTCATCATTCCTCAGTCTTCAATTACACTACGACAGTTTAGATGGGTGGAAAAATCTTGTAATGATACACTAAATTTCATATATTGAATTTGTTACGAAAAACAGAAGAGCTTCTGCAGAAACTCCAGAGAGGGCATTTCACATCTAGAATTTCATTTATCCCCATTACATGGAAAGGAAGCTTGATTCAGATCAGGACTGCGATGTTAGATTTTCCCCCTTAAATCATCCTGATGAAAGGGAGACAGCAGTTGTGCTCAGTTAATACTTCTATCTAAGTCTGACCACAGCAGACTGAATAGAGAAACAATGCAAATGACATATAAAGTTTTATGCTTCTATCTTTAAAGCAAACAATCAAAAAAAAAAAGAAAAGAAGAAAAAGAAAAAACAACCCTGGTGCTAGGATGGGCAAGAGTGGAAGAAATTGTTGTCCCACAACAGCAGCTGTAGAAAACATGGGCAAATTATCTGATGAGAAGGAATTTCTGACAATTAAAAAAAAAAACGTTATTGGTGTCCCAACCCCAGAACATGCTGTTTCGGTGTTTTAAAGGATGACTTCTTTCTCCTCAGAACTTTGCTCACAGTCCAGTAGTACCACAGGATCAAATCTCTTCATGCTGTGCTTGTTAATCTCAATACAATCTTTTTTTGCTAGTCAGAAGCAGGTATCCCTTGTTCAGCATTTATAACACATGCTTCTTTACTGCACCCAAGAGAAACAGCACAGCACATCCTATCAGACTAGTTGCACTAATCTACAGTAATCCTATGCCCACCCATTATACAATTAAGATTCAACTTATATTCATCCAGGTGGATTCTACACCTGGCATGAGGCAACTCCAGATCTTTGTACAATCTGGGGCACATTAGAGAGCACCCACGAGGAAAGTGATCAGGGGGCTCTGGCTGATAGCAAGCTGAATCTGAGCCAACAGCATGCCCAGGCAGCCCAAAATCAGCTGTACCCCCAGGTGAAACAGGGCCAGCACAGCCACTGGGTGATGGAAGGGGTTGTCCTGCTCTGCTTGTATGGTGCAGCCTCACCTCGAGCACTGCTTGCAGGTTTGGGTGCCAGTGTATGAGGGATTTAAAACTACTTGACCATCCAAAGGAGGGCTATGAAGATAGTGGAAGGTCTACAGTTCTAGTAGAAGACACATGAGGAGCATCTGAGGTCCTGTGCTATGTTCAGCCCAGAGCAGAGTTGCTGAAGGGAGGTCTCATGGCAGCTGCAGCTCCTCATAGGGAGTGGAGGGCAGCACTGAGCTCCGCTCTCTATGACAGCAACAGGGCTTAAGGGAACGGCATGGAGCTGTGCCAGGGGAGGGTGAGGCTGGAAGTTAGGAAAAGGTCCTTCACCAGAGGGAGGAACACGTGGAACAGGCTGCCCAGGGCAGTGGACACAATCCCCAACCTGCTGGAGATCAAGGAGCATTTGGACACCGCTCTCAGATATTGGGTTTGGGTGGTGCTGTATGGAACCAGGAGTTGGACTCGGTGATCCCTGTGGGCCCTTTCCAACACAGGATATTCTGTGATTCTAAGGACTATAGGACGACAGTCCTTTCACACCAGTTTCTTTTTAATGTTTAAATGAATGCACAAACAAATGTTTGTTTTTTGTTTTTTGGTTGTTTTTTTTTTTTTTTTGCTAAATTTCAGTGAGAAAGTATTGCTTTAGGATTCTTGAGTCTTCCTTCACAAAGTAGTTAAAAACAACAACAACAACAAAATAACACCTACAACTTATTATGTGCTACACAATAATCCCAAAGAAAAATTATCAGAGCCACCAGAGACATTACAACTGGGACTTGCCAGTCTCAGCCCAATCCCACCTCACAAAAGTATCTTTGAGGAAGAAACTGAAGGAAGAAATCATCCACCAGGAGGGTATGTTTTTATAAAGCTGACTGATCAGGGACATGCATACACATACACATGCAATCACAACACATGACCCTGAACAGCTAGATTTCGTGTCTAAGTTTCCTCTTACAGCTACAGCAGTTCTTACCATAGGAGTTTATAATGAAAATCCCTGCAGCTTCCAGACACTGCACCAGCTATGGGGGTGTGCAGCCAACTCTGGAGCAGACCAGCAGGAGAGCAGCTGAGCCCCAGGCACAGCATATACCACAGTAGGCAGGACGCCAGCCTCTGGTGGGGGCTGTCTGACAAGAGCTGATGTTATCAGCTGCACTGTAAGAGTTAACACATTTTGAGCTACTCCAGCTAAATCCCAGGAGCTATTGTTGTTAAAAGACTAACATAAAGCTACTTCAAGGGCTCAGATTTCCACACGCAGCCCTTAGATACTTCTCACAATTATTTTTTCTATCTGTATATAAAATACGGATGACTTGGTTAACAACATTCTTTTTTAAACAAAAGTATAATTGACCTGCTTCCTCCAAATGGAATATAAGGTGCCTCAGCTTGCAAAGAAAAAGCTCAAAGTATGTACATGAAGGAATTGATTCCCCAGTTAATATGACATTGAAGCAGACTGCTGTAGTTTCAGGGGAAACAACTTAATAGCCTTAGGATTCATTTATTATTCAAATTTAATGATGAATTAAATTTCTACCAATATCCTTACTTAAAAAAAAAAAACAACCACTCATTTTGCTTCATAATTATTGTACTTAATCCACCTCTTCTTTAGATCAGCTTTACAAAAATCACCCTGAAAAACCTCTAGAAACACACAATATTTTGTTAATGAAATAATTTCATCTTTAACAAAGCATCTAGAGCCAAAAAGAACAGTCCAAAGTTCCTAAGAAATTACTGATTTATAATTTGAAAAATACTGCTAAAAAAGATTCCTCAAATTAGCAAATTGAATCCAAGGATGATATCAATCAAGCCCACACTAACATAATGCAAGTGTTTAAAGGTTATGGTTGCCCTGTTTCAATAAATAAATAAACAAATAAATAAATAAAAATAAAAAACCAGACAGCTAATAAAAGTCAGTACATCAAAAGGTTTTTTTTTTTATATAAATCCTTTCACAATTAAAAATCATTTTTAGCATTCATAATGCTACAGCACAGCTTTTTCTTGTTGTTGTTACTGTAATCCCTCCCCGTCCCCCTCGCCAGCCACCCCAAACAACTAAAACCCTCTCTCAGCAGTAATTTGCCTCAAATACAATGGTAGTTCACAAAGAAACATCACAGTACCAATTTAACCCATGGGCAGCACGAATTTACAATACACTACTTCAAAAAGAGAATGTTAACTACTCATTATCTCCATTTTTATTTTTTTAAATACCTATGCACACATGTGGATGCACTTTAAAAATAAAACTGCCTGTTTGCTCTTCCAACTTCAAATAAGGAAAGACAGGATTACACACCTGTTGTCTCCAGCTTTACCAAATCAGTAACACCACTGCTTGGGCCTCTCATGGGAGACTAACACCACAAATCAGTAACACCACTGCTTGGGCAGACATGGGATAAGTGAAATGGCAATTAAAAGTTTAAGAAATTTTCACAAGAAATTCCACCTTAAGCAAGGCACTAATTTAGTGAGAGACCTCTACCAATGGCAGTAAAGCTATGGTTCACCTAAGAAGGCCCACTGTTTATAGTTCCAACATGATGATAGAGTTCCATTAGAGATGCATAAAGTACTTAAATGAAAAAAAGCTTTTTTGCTCCATCTGTGTGCATCTGAGAAAGCCATATAAACCTAAAAGACAGTGTATTTATAGAACTGTTTAGTTGTGTAACTGAATTCCTCATTATAAAAGAAGTCGCACAAAAAATGTAACAGTACATGTTATTACTGGGCCACTAAATCACAATTCTTTGGTCACGTACTAGTTCTCATTTTTTTATAGGTCTGAGAAAAGTAAGCAACATTCAGAAACACACTAACTGCTCAAAGAAAGTTCTGCAGCAAAGCTCTGCTTTAAAGTTTTATTTAAAAAAAAAAACACTTAAGAAAGTTAGGTTGTCACCATCTTACATTTCAGTATACAAAACTGAAAAAAAAATCCCTATTAAAAAAAAAAAAAACAAACTAAATAAAAAAGACAGGACTTCAGTCAAGGTTTCAGCTACTTATTGCTGTAGTTTTAACTCGAGTCCATTTATAACCCTACATTTTGGTCATTTGTAGAGAGAACACATTTGGAACGCTAGCAGCGATAGAAAACCCCTTTAAAACATAGGCTGTTACACTGCTGTGTGAAAATTACCAGAAAACCATCACCAATGGAACATAACAAAGCATTATGTAAAAGTACAATTTAATCAGTTGTTAGAAAAAGTGTTGATTTAAAGTACTATCCCAAAGCTTTATGTGGGCCTACGTCAGCAAAGTGCTTTTGTTCCCACTATGAAAAGACCATAACCACAGCATTTCTTCAAACATAAAGAATGCAGCCTTCATTGTTACAGTGCTTTCTCTCTATCTCCTCCAACATACAGAGCACAGAAACTTGAAATAATTGCTAATTCCAAATTCAGGTGATATGCACAAATATACTGTTGAACAAAGTCTGGACAAGAAAACAGTACACCTGAGTTCAGTCGTACAAACTAATTTGTGTAAGTAGTGTTAGACGAATATATCCATGTCTCTAATATGAATCTAGATGTATTTTCTTACAAAAATGCATTGATAGAAATACCCAGGCAAATACATACCATACAATAGCAAAAGCTTTAAGCCCCATTTAATTAGATGATTTTCTGATTAAAAATAGAAGGCAATTAAGATTTACTCAAAATTACAATTAAGAAAAGCTTTCACAGTGCAATATCGAAACTGTCACAAAGTTAAGAAAATACTGATATCAAAGTACAATCACAATGTTAAGGTAGACAAAACTACTATACAAGGGCATATCTTGTAAAATCAAAAGGAATTAACACAACATAGGGGACATCTCGTGCCCCTGCTCTACAGATCTCATTTCTTAGTCTTCAGAATCATCGTGTCTTTCCCTTTTGAACATCGGTAGAAGTCTTGTTAAAACTAAGAGGTTCAATCTTCTTTGTCGACCAGATTTCAGAGCATGATTACTTCTTCAACATACATTCTTCATCACTGCACAATTTCAAAGTAGTGCAATATTGCCATGATGTGCTGAGGCATGAACACATAACCCGTGTACAGTGCCATTCCAACAATGGAAACTAGCATTGAATCTGAACTACGGTTAAGGAAGAAAGCATTTAAAACCAAAAGTACATCAGAAGTCATATAAGCACAGCATTACCATTTTTCTATTATCTAGCTCATAACATTATATTTATAAATCCTAAGTACTAACTGTATTCAACAGTTACAGCTGTAGGAAGAAGCAATAGAACATTAGAAAACAGAACGCAGGTGATAAGCTGAATTACAGCAGGACGCTTTGCAAGATATCCACTGCCTTATCATAGACACAACAGTACAGACTGAAGCATGGGAAGGGAGAAGGAGGAATTGAAAACGGGCACTGAGGATATATGAATTATGCATACATCCTCCAAGGTATTAAGCAATACCTGCAGAAGCCAGCACAATCAGTCAGGCAGAACAGTCAACCACTGGAAAAAAAAAAAGGCAAAAACAAAAGGATTATATGAATACCTGTACTGAGTAAGAGCTGTTACTTGTGCACAGCCTACTCACTATTAAGAAGACAGCATTAAATTCTGATATCAACTTATCGGAATAGAATGACATAATAAATTCTACTTATTGTTCACAAAACATCTGGCATGAAAACTGTACTGCAACCATAAAGCCAGTGTTCCCTAGGCTTTAAGTTACTACATTATTTGGTTTGCTGCTCTATCAGCTCAGACCTCTTCTCATAGACAAGGACCTCCATTTAAAAAGTGTTGACAGTACTTAAGGAAAAAAGGCTGCAAGGGTAATGAAAAATGTGGGTGACATTGTTACACACACCTTTCCAGTCATTTCAGTCACAACACCTCACAGGATCAGCATGATTTGGAGTAAATTTATGTAAATAAATAGATGCTCACTGGTATTTTACTATGGCAGAGCTGCAAAACAAACCTCACATGAAGCCATCTGCTAAGCAATCTTAAGATGATCCCTTCATTTAGCTGAACTTTCCAAATGGAAACCAGAAACTCAAAGAAGTCAGCTTACAGTGTAAACATACAACTAGACCTTTGTCACACTCCAGGATTGTCAAGGCTTTATCTGCAGAAACTACAGCATCAGACTATTCAAGGATTAGGCCATTCAAAGTTTAAGACATCAGAAATTCGAAAGTTTTACTCTCAACAGTAACTCGCAGAGATTCAGAAACACTATATAAAGCTCTGAAGATCAACAAGCACGATAACGCAGATAACAGTACTCAGTTTCCACAGGTGAAATCAGAGGAGCTGTGCATGCTCCGTAACTTTGAGAAATGAAGTTACCATAGCATGTGTGCAACAAAGGCTCTGTGACTGACTTCCCCGAGATAGAGCAGAGGTATATGTGGTGCTTATTAGAGCATACCAGCTTCTGGGTGTATTTTTAGTCCCAGAAGATTGCACAATGCAAGACACTAAAATGAAGGTCAACCCATAGATCTACATTCCAGTATCAGTGCACCCAGCACTTCTGGAACACAAGAGGCTGGAAATGCACCCAGCAGGTCTCTGCACTGCCAGCTCCAAGGCCCTCTGTCCATGTGGTCCTTGCACAGTGCCTGGCAGACCTGGCCCACCAGCAGTGACAGCATTCCCTCTGAAGACAGGCACAGTGTAGCCAATCTGATGTTGCAAACAATACATGGGACACTCAGGGCATTATTTGAAGTGGAGCAACAATCACTTCACTGCAAAACAAGCACTTTATAAAGTAAGTAAACTGTCAATTAGTTAAATGGCTCGCCCAAGTTAAGAAGCTGTCTGGTTAACACAAAAAGAAAAAACATATATATTTATAACTAGCCTAATTGTAAGGAAAGCAAAAATGAAATGTTTTCAGTGATACACAGTACAAACAGATGAGGGTATTCTAGTTAGAAATATGGTATTTTGAAACTAAAAACCACTGCCTCTATAACTATGCACAGTGCATCTGTAAGTATTAGAAAGACAAAAAGTAATAATGACTCCACTTTTACCAAGTGTACACAAGAAAACTCTCTGCAACCTGTAACCAGCTGTAACCTGGGAAACCACTCTTATATATATATGAACCACTCTTATATAATGAAACTAGTTCCTTTACAACTGACCAGGAAAAGCAGCTTTTCACTCTTAAACCCTTCTTGATGGTTGAAAGCAGCTTTAATGCTTTTGTTAGTTTATCTTTGTATCTCTCAGCATTAACTGGAGCTGGCTCAGGGTCATTCATGAGACATCATTTTAACTCGAGATCAAAACAGCCATGCTTGCAAAGAATATCACTTGTGATAAATAACAGCCCCTAGAAGAGCGCAGTGCCAGTCTGACAGAGCTGCTTGACGAAGCTCACCTTTAAACAATTTGCATACAGAAGGCTCCACATTAGAATCTATCCAGTTCTTCCACTCCAGAAGAACCAAACAAATTTACCAGCTGAAGGATTAAATGCTCTTCTAACACAAACCGTGTGACAAAGTGCAGCCCAAACCAAAGCTCTCCAGGTTTTGAAGCACACACGTTTACTTTCTACTAGACAACAAAATAAAATTCACAAAAGAACTGTGCTGAGCAAAAACAGTGGGGCTCCAGTTGAAGAGTCGGGGGAAAAAAACTATCGCAATTCTACGGGAGAAAAATAATAATAATAATAGTAATAAATAATAACAAAGCGCAGGAGAAAGCATGTCAGGATATAAACCCGGCCCCGGGCAGAGGCAGTCGGAGCGGCCAGATGCCTGCGACAGAAGCACACGCCGACACTAGGGCTCTTCCCTGACTCCGGCCGCGCTACGCCCGCGCCGGCTGCAGCCCCGCCATCTCCCCGCGCACCACTCCCAGGGCCCCGCCGCCCCAGCCGGCCTCGGCTACAGCCCCAGGACACCGTTCACAGCCCACCCGGTCCCAGAGCTCCCCGCCCAGCACGCCACGCGCCGCCGGCAGAAGGATACTGAAGACGGTGCGCTCCCAAGGTTCCAGCATGTAGAGCGCGGTGACCAGCAGGTACTGGTAGTACAGCCACGACATCTGCTTCCAGGCCGAGCCCAGCGCCATGGCGCGCACCGCGCTCTCCCCGCCGGCCGCCAGCCTGCGCCGGGCCCAGGCCGATCGGAGACGGGGGCGGTGGCTGCCCGGGACCCGCCCTCCCCCGCCGTCTCTGCCGACTGGCCCCGCCGCGCGAGGCCCGGCCCTGGGCTGCGGCCTCCTGAAATGGAGGCGCTGCGAGGCGGGCGGGGCGCCAGTCGGCGGCGTCCTGGAGCGGGCGAAGGGGGATGCGGACATTCAGCGCCGAGGCTTCAGCGCACGTCCCCTGGCAGCAGGGCGGAGGGAGCGTAAGGGAGCCGTACTCTCTCCCTTCCGCCCTCACTGCGAGTCGGTGCTGGAGTCGGATACAGGGGCCGTGAGGCTGCCCGCATTCTTGTACAAAACAGTCTGTGCAGATCCCAGGAGAAGCTCGTGTCAAACACATTACAAAACCCAGCCCTTCTCACAGTCCCCATAGCAGCACTGATTTTCCCCTACTGAATAAATCAGCTGTATGTACGAGGCTATTCCTGATTAGATCACATCACATCACATCACACGACTGCCCGTCACCATGTGAGCAGATCTGAGTCATATCTGGAAGACCGCTGCACACAATTTTCTCTCATCCTGTTTTATTTAAATGGACATCCTGGATGTTAGGGATCACCTGAAGATGGCACTCAATATGATCCACCAGAAGTGTGTTAGAGGGTTCTGCAGAATGCTTCAACACTGTCAGTATTCAGAGGGCAAAGCCCACTCAAAACCACTGCTCGGATAAAGGAGAACTTACAATCTGTCGACTTGGACTGACTAGATCGACCCCACAGAAACAGTGAAGGGCAAAAGATCAACTTCTTTTCATGAGAGTTGCTAACTTTGCACTTCTGAGAGTTGTTTAGGGCCAGACACTTTAGTGTTAGAAACTTGTAGCTGCTATTTTGACTTTTTCCTTATCAAAGGCCGAGAGTTTGGCCTGGGACCACACAGTTCTAACAGCCATTGGCAGCTTACATGGACAACTGGGTTTCAAATGCAATAGTTAGAACACAAACCCAGTGAAAAGCAACATATGGGGAAATCAAGCATCCCAATTAAGCCAACCAAGTAAAACCAACCCCTGTGCGCTGGAGCCAGGCCACCAGGAGAAGCCTCACACACATGCCAGGTGCGCACCACAGATGAGAAACTGTCAGCCCTCTGCCATAATCCTGCTCAGTAAAACAGCTTTAGGTGATGTCAGTTCTAGTGCAATTCTAGTCTTGCAGCTGCCTCACACCTAACGTAACCAGTGCTGTTATTGCAATGGAAAGCAAGGAAACATAGTCACAGGAGGGTGCTCACATTACTTACTTACAGAGCTGCAAATCGCAGCTCCAGGAGATAACTGCGCAAAAGAAAATAGCTGGCAGAGACAACCAAATTCTGTAGTAATTTATGCGGAAAGATCTGATATGGGATTTAATCCAGTCAGAATACATTCAGACATGATTTATCTGGACCAATTTATTTCAGCACCAGAAGAAATGAGCATATTCATACAATTAATACCCCCACATAACTGGCTACAGGAGCTGTTGCCCCTACCTAAGATAGATGTTTCTTCTTGTAACTGATACTGAAGGAGTCTTGTGTTGTTGACACTGCCTGAAAGAGCTGCAGCCATGATGAAAGCTGCCTTTTTAAATAAACACAAAATCCAAGGACACATGGAGCTTTTAGCACAACTAAAGCACTACTCCCTTTCACAGCTGCAAGAGCAGTATCAATATGGAGCAAACATGTCCCAATCTCACCTGCTCCCATGCTCCACAAGAAGAGGGGCTGCAATTCAAGTGAGCAAAAAGCAGCAGCAAGAACATGGGATAAGAAGGAAGGAAATGCTGAGAAGCATGCCAGCTTCACAATTTCCTGCCACATCCACCAGCTGTTTGTCCAGGCCCTTTACACCTTTTCACTTTGGTGCATACTTAGAAGGAAACTGTTGTTTATTAGTCCCTTGAAAAAAATGGATACTATTCCTCTGTGTAGTGTCCCATCCTCCACCAGTTGTTCCATCCTAATCCTGCTTAGGAATTGCCATTGACTACTGCTCTTCCTGCTACCACCTGCACTGACTTTTATTCCCTGAACAACATTCTCACATTCTCCTGTTTTCAGCAGCTTAGTGCAAAGATCTTACCCTTATGCTCCATAGTTTTCATGCATTACTTGGACTGTGAAGACAGTTTGCATTGAGGCCACTATGCCCTACAGCACAGAGTGCAGTCTCTATTACATCTGCTCCCTCACAGTGTTACTAAGGAATAGCTCTCACATTCAAAATTTTCCATATATGACTCCAGTCTTAAAGCATGTAATAATAGTCTATCCCACTTTAGATAGCATAATTTCCGACAACATGCCACAGGTAGTGAAAATGATATAGAGATCTCATCTTAAGCAGATCCCATGTTTCAAAACAAAGCTCAGTTTCAGTTGCAGGTTTGACGTGCAGAGAAAGATACACCAACCTGACTAACGAAGTGTTCAGCAGCTACCTCAATAGTTCAGTGCTTCATCAAGAAGTTTCTGCTGATGCAAAAATAGGAAGTCAAGACATTAAGGTAAAAATGCACATGGTATTCCAAGCTGCTTCCTGAGAAACAAGCAGTAATTTCAGGATATTCATGTTCACCATACCACTAGGGAAGTCAGCATTCTTCTGGATACAATAAAGACCAATTACAGTATTTACTCTTCTTTCAAGCTCAAATCTGTCCTAATGCTAGCACAGCTACGTTTCTGAAATTACCAGAAAAAAAAAAAAAAAAGTTGCAACTTTCTAACAGTGAACCTATATAGCTTTCAAAGTAGGATTTACTTTTTTTTTTTCTGGAAAGTATAATCAGTCTGCATTAATGCAAATTCTACAAGAATGCACGCATGTAAGACAAAAATTTTGATGGCTCCTATTTTCCCCATCATCAATAACAAGTTATTTCCTTGAAAACTGTAAAGAAAAAGGTGAATATTGATATTTGTACTAAATTCCCTCTGTAAAAGTTAAATAAATCTCAAATTTCCTTTAAAAACAAACAAAACAAAAAACAAAAAAACACACATGAAGATAGCCAATATCCAAAAAAGCAATTAATAAGTATGCAACAGTTTAGGATGCTTAGGATGGTTTAAGAGTGTTTAGAAAGCTCTGAAAAAGTGCCAGAAGAGGCACAGATCACACCAATATGCATTGCAGAAAATTGTCCACTGCACTGTGATACTTGACTAGAAAAGGAATTTGCTTCCAGCATGTCCAAGTTGTGGCCTCTGCATAATTGTTATTCAGGCAATGACAAAACCCTAAAACAGCTTACTGATTCTTTTCCTTCAGTTCCTTTTTACATCCTGCTCCACCTTGGCTTGCTATATCACTTTCACAGATTCCTTCACATTAATCCCAGATACATCTAATATAAGACTCTGGTCATTTATCTTCCTCACAATGTAAATCCTCAAATTTTGGTGGGCAAACCAGCAGACTCTGGCCTACAGCATTTAGTATTTAAAGGGCCAAAATGTTCATCAGATTTACAAACTTAAAAAAAAAAAAAAAAAAATTGGAAGAAAAAAAAAAAAAAAAAAGTCTATGTCATCTCTGTCCTTTCTTCTGTCTGCTGCAACATCTATGCAATAACAACAACAACAAAAAAAATCAAAACAACCTGTCAGATTCTTTTCTTCATACCTCTTTATATAAAAGTTCCAAATTGCATTACTAAGCATTAAATGTTGATTTAAATGACACATGTTAGAATCACCCACACCAGCAAAGTTGACACAACCTAATCGTCCAATCTGTCTGTATAAAAAAATTACATTTTTGAGATATGAATGAGCCACAAATCCAAACACAATGACAATTCTTTCTTTATCTTAACTATGTTTGTGCAAATCAACAAAAAAATGCCAGCATAAAGGAGCCCACAATCTTCATGGGGAACCACCAAGTTTAACAGTTCCATAGAAATGATTAATGCAGCTAGAGAGAACCAGCTTATACAGTATTTATTCTAAGCAGTAGTTCTAATACATATTGAGGTAATGGGCAGTACATACACAAGGAATGATCATAATACACAGATCTTACACTGTATTTACAAAACATTAAATCCTCAACAATGCAACCACCTGACTGTAAAAAAATATCACTCTCAAATGCAAGCAGTTAACAGTATTCCTTTCATAAAAAGGAATACAGCAATAGCGTCAGAAGTCCAACCACTATGAAGTTCTCTCATAAAAACGTACATTTAAAAGAACACATTTTTAAAGACACTTCTGACACTGCCTGCATTTCTGATACTTCACACAATCTTAAACAGAGCACTTTTTTTCTGCTTTTGCATATTAGCTGTGGCTGGCTAGAACATTGAAGAAGTGAAAAACTTCATCTTTATCCATCACTGCCACCTCAGTTGAACATTCAGTACATAATACTGGATGATACACTTCCTCCTCTTCTTGATTTGACTGTACAGGAGTAGTTTCCTCGCTGTGCTTCCTTTTCTTATTTCTTTTCTTTATCTTCTTTCTGTATTTCAGAATTTCCTCTTTGTTAACAAAGCAGTTCATCACAAACATTGCCCTGTACTGTGTTTTGTAAGATTCATGTCTATGGAGAAGAAGAGAAAATGCAAGTCATACCACTGGTAAAACTCTGCTTCCATGAAATAAGGCATCATCTCTGGAAATCAGATTAAAGATAGGAACTGCCATGCCAAATGGCTGAAAGCCATACAAATATGAAGTTTTGTAAACAGAACAGTCCCAACTACAAAAAAATCACAGAAATAATTGAAGCTGTCTGTCTTGTTTTTCAGGAACGAACATAAAAAAAAAAAAAAAAAAACACTGGTTCTCACTGAAATAAGCACCCCTGGAGTACAGCTTGGTATTACACAATCATGCATATTCAGACTATTCAGAGCTTATGACAGGTAGGCAAAAATCTTGAAGTTGTGAACGCAAATGACTCAAATACTGGTATTTATAACCTAAAACATTTCAAGCCTGAAATTCTGTATGATA